CAAAGAACATACATAGATACAAACTTTCAGTTATATATATATATATAGAATAACCTTTTGCATTAATTGAATTGTCTTCAATATCTGTTGTCATTATGTAGGAGTGCAAATGTGTTCCAAAACACCTGTGTGGACTCGAGAACATCGTCGACTCTCGATCCGATGCAGGAGAAGAAGTTAAGTGTCAATCATATCTTGAAACATGTTGTTTACCAAATATGATTAATTACCCGACTCCTATGAGTTGTGGTGTCCGTAATTCGAAAGGGGTATTTTTCGGAATTACCGGTAACAATGACAATGAAGCGTCATTTGGTGAGTTTCCATGGCACATTGCACTTTTTAAAAATGTACAAGGTCCAAGTGGTGAACTTTGGACTTACGTATGCGGTGGTTCATTGATTAATCCGGGTGTGGTTCTAACTGCAGCCCATTGTTTAAGAACAAAGAATGGACCAATGTTGGATTTACACATGTTGAAAGTCCGTGCCGGAGACTGGTTAGTGTTCAATGATGACAAATTTTTTTTCAAATTTGAAATTCAATCTTTTGCAAACGACACATTTTTTTTTTTAAATGTCTCAATATCCAGGAATTTACGAATCACACACGAGCCGTATCCCCATCAGGACCGAGCTGTTCGTAATATTGAAATTCATCCAGATTATCAAAGGAATGGCTTGCTTAGTGATGTTGCATTGTTATTCGTCACACAGCCATTTGAATTGGGTCCACATATCAATACAATTTGCTTGCCGGATCCGGGCGTTGTTTTCGATCAACGATCTTGCTTCAGCAGTGGCTGGGGAAAGGGTATCGAAAATTTCAAATAATATATACAGGACTAAAGCTATAGTCAAATGGACTCAATTCGTATTCATTTTTAGATAAATTTGGTGACGGAGGGAAAATGCAAAATATTTTAAAACGGATTGAAGTATCAATTGTACCACATGGAACATGCGTTCAGAAATTAAGAGAAACACGTCTCGGACAATCTTTCCAATTATCTCCGACTTTTATTTGTGCCGGTAAGTATATTTACAAAAATAATAGAGAAAGGAACATCTTCATGCATTCCTCGTTATACTCGTTTTTTCTTAAATTTCATAGGAGGCGAAAGTCATGGTGACACATGTACTGGAGATGGAGGAGGTGCGCTGGTTTGTCCAACGTCAAATGGTCAATATGTTCAAGCTGGTAAATTTTTCAAAAAATGTTTTGAAAAAAGTTACACAATTTATAAATAATATCTGTGATTACTTTGAATTAGGTATTGTTTCTTGGGGCATGGGATGTAATAACACAACGCCAGGAGTCTATGTAAATATTTCAAATGTACATTTTCCATTTTTCCGTTATTATCAATTTTTCTTTATTAAAGGCAAATTTGGCGTGGTTCCGGAATTGGATAGATCAGTACTAGTAAAGAATTGAATTGAATGTCATAAACGTCTGTCTGACTGCGTCTTTTTTAATTATTCAAAATCAAAACCAAATTTGTAATGAAATAAAATACGTTTCAATTAGACGATATTATATTGCATGGTATTTCTTTTGATATTTTATTCTAGTAATAAAATAACTTGTACGATGGAAGTTGCTAAAATAATTTGCGCAAAATATGAGTTAATTCTTCTTTTTTTTT